TTTTAAATAAAATATCCAATTTGAATTTTAAAAATGAAAAAAATAAGTTTTAAGAGAATTTTTTTATGATATCTAATTTAATTCAATTTAATCTTAAATTAATTGAGATTTTATATAATTTTTAAATATTAAAAAATTTAATTAAAAAATATTTGTCCATTTAATGGAGCGCGAAAAGTTGGCAAGGGTTTTTATGGGAATTAGTGACGAACTAAAGAAATTGTGGCGTTATAATTTCAGGAAGGCAAAACATGCATATGACCCCTTAACTCATCAATTGGTGGCAAATCACTCCCTCAACCTACTACACGCGCAAACCAACCCCTCAACTCACCTACAATGGCAAATCAACTCCTCTGTTAAGACTAACGTCATCATTCCGTCAATATTTAACGGTCCACTCATAAACCCCTCTGCGTCTGACGGGCCTTCTTTTTGCTGAGATGGATGCTGAGATGGACGGCCACCTGGACAAAAGGTAATTTTTCAATTGAATTTAAAAATTATTCTTTACCTTTGTTTTTCTTTCGAAAAAGTACCCAGAAAAAGCATCCAAATTCCTCCCCTTTCATCTCCTTCAAGAAACCATCTTCTTTAATCCCAAAAATTTTAATAATTTCCCCATAACATTGCCAACTTTATGTTTTGGCCTCGCTTGACTCTTCGACGCCGGTGCTGCCATTTTCTTGCTCGCATTCACCTGTTCGACGAAATTCCCCAGAGAAGCTCCATTTCTTGAAAACGCTACCACAAGCTCTAGGTACAGTTGTTTCATCAATTTCTTGAACCTTTTTTATACACAAGAAGATCATTCGCATTGATGGTTGTAATACCCGATCTTTGCACTCCCATTTTTGTAAGCTTTACACGCCGATGAAATAAAGCTCAATCGATCCCTAAAGTACTTCATAACAGAGCATCCTCATTTTAAGCGGCGGATTTCTTCTCCCAAAAACGACCCGGCCAAGCGACATTGCCGGGCTCGTTGAAGTAGGGCTTTTCGTTGAGAACTAGACCCTGAATCGAGAGCAGAAGCTGGAGAACTGTTGACTCATTCGGATTCCATTTTTCAATCTTTTTCCCAACCCAAGTGTTAATCAAACTCAAAAAGACCTTCCCGTTCGCATATAGGTTTGGGTTGATCCGAAACCCAAAAGATCGGTAATGAGCCATTAGCGGTCGATTGGGATAATCAAGCGGGAATGTGATGTCGAAGAAGAAGAGCCCGTCATGGTAAGGTGTACCCACGTTAGCGAGGCTAGTTTGCCACTGCAAGTGAGTTGAGGGGTTGGTTTGCGCATGAAGTAGATTGAGGGGGTGATTTGCCACCCATTGATGAGTTAAGGGGGTGATCTGCATGTTTTGCCTTTCACGAATGCATGAATTTCTTCTTCTTTTTTTTTTAATGGAAGGAATTTCAATGGGTTGTTGGCATTTGTTGTTGTACTGGGGTATTCTACTTTCATGGTTTCAACTTTGGATTGTTATAGAAAATTAGAAACTATCATTGTGCTATAGTTTAATTATGATGTTACAGAACTTAGTGTTTTCATCGTGGAGCAGTGCTAGGGGCACTCGCTTTTTGCACTCTCCGGCCAACGCTTCCCCTTTCATTGGGCCACGTAAGCTTCTTTAAAGCTTTCAGGCGCAAACCTCTCGGAACCAAAATAACGTGGCCCAATAAAAGAGAAAGTGTTAGCCGGAGAGTGCAGGAGGCGAGTGCCCCTAGCATTTCTCTTTCATCATTTCCTCACGAGCAGTTATAATTGTACATGGAAGGGATTGAAGAGAATGGTTCTATTGTTTTCTTCCTCTTCTCAAAAACTTAGAAACTTGGTCAGATGTACGGCCATATGTGAGGCACTTCTGTACCGGGTACCCAGAGATCCCCAACAGCGGCCTTGCCCAGATGGGGCAGGGGCAATTCAACACAAGGCCAACTGTCATAGTTGTCAATGACATTTTCGTCTTTCCTCATTTCTCAGCTTCAATTTAGTAATTCATCAACAATTACATATTCTATTCTTTCATTTCCACAGTGCTTTTACACTAAGTTTGGAATAGTTGGATTGATTGGCAGAAAGGAAACTGCTCTGTTTTCTTCTTCTCCAAAACAGGGTAGGCCAATTCCAAACAGAGCAGGGCCAATGCCCTGAAGAACAGTCATAGTTATGACACTCACCTGAATTATACGTAAAAAATTTCTTCAGTATATTGGATTGAGTGGGAGGCAGGGAAACGCTCTGTTTTTTCTTCTTCTGGATATGGTCTCTAATTAAGTCATTAAACTCCAAAAAGTAAGGAATGAAATTGTTCAAAGATGTTCGAACCTTAGTTGTCCGACATGGATTTTGAAGCTTAATGGTTTCTTTATAATTGTTGGAGGAAAGAGAAATGCTTTGTTTTCCTCTTCTTCATTTGGAATTTAGCGTCAAGAAGCTAGAGTGAATCTAGAATGAGATTACAGGGCAAGAGGGAGGTAGACAAGGGAATGAGATTATGGGTTTCGACTTTGGATTGTTTGAGAAACTTATTATCATTCTGTTTGAGTGTAATTTGGATGTTAGAGCATTTACTGTTTTAGTCAACTGCTCAAGAACAGTCATAATTGTACATGGAAGAAAAGAGAAATGGATCTAGTTTTTCTTCTTCATCTTCACATGAACTCCAATCAACTCATGAGATTCTGAAATTTAGTCGGACGTGCCCAGGAGAAAACCCAAAAAAAAAAAAAAAAAAACTCTGCTCGTGCTCTAAATCTTGAAAACAGAGGAAGTACGGCGCAGAGAAAAAATGGGAAAGAAGAAAGGGGCATGCTTGTGAATACAACTGGGAAAGATTAAAAATGGGACTAACTGTAATTTGGGCTTTTACTCAAGATTTGACCCAATTGAGGCCGGCTAAAAGAATTTTTTTGGGTGGGCCACCCAATACCCTGATTGGTCGATAAAATGACCAATTTGTCCATGATCACTAAAAAAAGAAATAAGAAAAAGGAAAATCAAAATATACTGACATTAAAAATAAAAATTAGTGTGTATTAATTTTGATTTTTAAAAAAATTAGTCTCTTAACCTATATTTAAAAACTGAAATTTTAGTTCAAAATTTAAAATTTTAATTAATTTTCAAATCTAAATATCAATTTTTAATAAAATAAAATTTTAAATTAAATTTTAATAAAATAATATGATATAATTTAAAGTCAAGATTCTTATTTTTTTAGGAATCACGATATGTGCTTTT